TCGACATCATCAGGCGATCTTTCGACACTTGGCTATGGCCCTTGAGTGTGGTGAAAAATAAGGAAAGAAGAAATAAAAAACATTCGAATTAATAATCTATTACTTTTATACTTACTGGTACTGGTACTACCAGAAAATTTGTTGGTATACTGCACTTTTTCAAAGTGGTGCTGTTCTCATGTCTAATAAAACAGTCGTCTGTGAAATGTTTGGAACAAATATGATCATTTTGTTTCGGACGCCAATTCACAATATTTATGCTTTTAAGCCATAACTTTAATCTAGGTTCACTTGGAAACCTGTTAATTAATAAACATTTGATAATCGTCTGTTGTTGGTGACTTTGTTTGTTAACAGATATGGGTAGGTAGGTAAAAAGAACATCGATAAGTATTATAGACAAGGAACTCGACAACCCTATTGAATTTTATTGTTTATCAAAATTCAGTAATCATAATCATAATCATAATCATATCAGTACTCAGTATCAAAATACAGCCAAAGATGTTGGTATATATGATATTAAGATTAGTAACAAATTTTTAAGTACTTATATTACCAAATAGTTTTAATTTGTTTCATATTTGCTGCAAATTCACTTACTTGTGAAATGTTATACCACTTACCTTTTAGTAACGAGTTTTACACATTACGCACACACTATTAATTAAAATAATTCTTATTATGTAACTAATATTATACACAATCAAACAACATAAAATACTTTAGTTTTTTAGTTTAAAAGTTCAAAATACAGATTTATTAAATAAGACAATTTAAATATGACAACAGACTTTGGCATATTATGTCAATTTTATTTTTCAAGACATCCTTTAGCGGCGCTTCAAATTGGCACAGTCATTTTGTATGGTATAGCCAGTCCAGCGTACTTGTATATATACAGGTCAATGAGTAACGGGTATGTACTTGTATTTTTTAATGCAAAGGTATCCATGTATATGCGGCCTTGTCGGACGTGTACTTTGTTTACATTATTGCAAGGATAAAAGAGGTTTTCGACATTTAATGTTTGATATATACTCACAAATGACTCCTAACGTACTACTCACAGTACATAATTCTATTTAACATTTGTGTCTGTGTGTGTGTGTGTCCGTTATTTCTCATAAGCACCTTGTGTTATTTTTTTTTGTTCAATCAAAAATTATCTGAATGGTATACGTGTAGTACCTTTTTTTCTTTTTAAATATTATCATTATTTTATATTCTGTAAATGCTGGTAGGTAGTAAATTTAATAAAAAGGCTTAGTTTTTAATTTTTATCTTTTTTATAGTTATTAGTATTTTTTAATAATTTGCAATTTTTTGATTGTTTTAAATATTTTTGTAAGGATAACATGTCTTTTGGTGAAAGTGATCATAATCAAAGCTCCTCCTCTTTCTTTTCAGTATCTGATGTATTAAGTAATGACGACAGTTTTGAGAGCATTTCTCCATTAAAAGAGACCCTTGACTCCCACTTTTCTCAAGTTATCAATAACTTCAATATAGTTCACATAAATACACAGAGTATTCCGGCTCATTATCCCGATTTGTAAGTTAGTTTTGAAAATGATAATGTTCATGCAGTTCTCGTTTCGGAGTCATGGTTAAAGCCATGTCTTCCTTCTATGTCCTATTCTATTCCAGGATTCCAGTTAATACGCAAGGACTGAACTGCACGAGGTGGTGGTGGTGTTGCCATTTACATTCATGCTCATATTCCTTTTTATATTGTTTGTTTATCATCTCCATCTCAAGCTGAGAACAAAGCAAAATACTTATTTGTTGAAGTATTTCTTTCACACCACAAATTACTTCTCGGAATTTATTATATTCCTTCTTCCACAGTGGACTATTTTACTACATTGGATAACCTTCTTGAAGAGCTAACTCCGTTATATACACATACAGTGCTGATGGGTGACTTTAATACTTGCCTTCTCAAGAATGACGCCCGATCTCTTCGGCTTAAGTCCCTTATAGAAGTAGCCAATTTAAATATCCTTCCTCTTTCTGAAATTAATTTTTTCCATAACTCTATCCCAATATAAATAAATGTCCTTGATTTGGTTATCGTTTTTTCTCTCGACCATGTTGATAGATTTGGTCAATGTGCTGCCAATGCCTTTTCATATCATGATCTGCTGTTTCTATCTTATAAAATAAGACCACCCAAAGCCAAATCAAGGATACTTCTGTAGCGTAATTTTGAGGAAATGGATTTGGAAACGCTACAAAGAGACGCTGCTAATATGGACTGGAGCGTTATAATGAAAGCTTATGATGTTGACGAACAGGTAGCATTGTTTAATTCACTTCTTGTTCAAATTTATGATGCTCATGCTCCTGTCCGTCCAGTACGAATACGTCATTTTCCAGCTCTATGGTTGACCGAAGATCTTAAAAGATTGATCTGCAGGAAGAATAACGCAAAGTCGAGTTACAAGTCAGATCCAAAGAATGAAAGGATTCGGGAAAAGTATAGAATCCTGCGGAATCAATACAACAAGATGTGTAGAGATTTACGACGATGCCACATCCATAAATCAGTACAAAACTAAGATCAATGTCATATTTAGAACTTCTTAAGGTCTACAGGATTTGGGAAAAAACGTTCATGTCCTATTCCAAATAACGTCGATTTAAATTTGCACGCATTATGATGCTGTCGGAAGTGGTGATGTTAGTCGTAAAATGATCATTCCCTTGCTAGACTTTTCAACAACTATTATAACCCATATCTTAAACTTTTCCATATCCTCATCTTCTTTCCCTTCCCAATGGAAGGACGCCCAGAAGATAACTTTACCTAAAAAAGCAAATCCTTCAAGTTTTTCTGAATATCGTCCTATTTCAATTCTTCCTTTCCTTTCCAAAGTTTTAGAACGCCTTGTCTAACAACACATTAATTCCTTTTGTTTAAAAAATAGCATCCTCAGTCCTCTCCAATCTGGCTTTAGATCTGGTCATAGTACGACTACGGTGTTATTAAAAATCACTGATGACATTTGCCGCGGTATGGAGAATCATCAAGTCACAGTCTTGGTGCTGCTGGATTTCAGCAATGCCTTCAATACTGTTGATCATGATATCCTGTTAGGGATTCTGAGTTCTCTTAACATATCTCCAACTGCAATTTCCTGGTTTCATAGTTATTTTTATGGGTGCCAGCAATGTATTCGTGTCCAAGATAAACTTTCTTCGGGGCTTGATACCGCAGCTGGCGTTCCACAAGTGTGTGTCTTATCTCCTCTTTTATTCGCAATCTTTTTTAATACAATTACATCCAAAATATCTTCTCTCTACCACTTTTACGCAGATGATCTTCAAATATATTTATAAACTACCATCGAAGATCTTCCCAAAGCTGTTGAATGTATCTACAAGGATCTGGCTTGTATTCTCGACTGGATACGATCTTATGAGTTGACGGTGAACCCTCTAAAATCCCAAGCTATAATTATTGAGAGTTCAAGAATGATTTCCATAATTTTGTCAATGTCAACTTCAACCCGTTGTATTTAATGGTATCCTTATCCCATATAATTAAGTGGTTAAAATTTAGGTATCCTTTTGGATTTCATCCTTTCTTGGAGTCCCCAAATTGCAGGCCGAAAAATGTTTGCAGCATATGTTTCACTCCGGAGGTTTAATTACTTTTTACCTATTTCCACCAAAATTACGCAAGCACAATCTTTATTACTTCTTATCCTCGATTATGCTGACATTTGTTACCCTGATATCACTGAGGAGCAACTTAACAAACTTGAGCGACTCCAAAATCTCTGTATATGATTCATTATTGGGCTTCGTAAATATGACCATGTCTCGAACTCAAGTGGCTCTCAATCCGTCTTCATCGGAATACTCTTATACTTTCTGCGCTCTACTGCGTCTTATTTAATGTATCAAATCCTCCCTATCTAAAAGAACATTTTAAATTTCTCTATGTTTAAATAGATCTTCACGACTTTTCCTTACGGTCCGAAAAAATTATTTCACTCCAATGTCCTGTACACTCCTCGACATTTTATGATAAATCTTTTGCTGTTCTTGGAGTAAGACTCTGGAACTCTTTACCCCAGTCAATTAAAAGTGCTTAATAATTACATGTGTTCAAGAATCAGATTAAGGAACACTATTTGTCTTTTTAACTCTTCTTTCTTCCTCCTCTTAGTTATGGTCATTAATCTACCTAAAGTATGTTGTCATTTTAGTATATAAGTTTGTATTTTTTTCTAATTTAGTGCACCCTACCCGTCAATCTTATTTTTATTTTTATTAATTTCCTCTTCTGGGTTGTCTGGAAGAGATTGCTATGTAGCAATAAGACCGCCTTTTATCTTTCCCTCATTGCTTGTTCATTATTTGTTATATTTATGTTTCGTTGGTGTACAATAAAGAGTATTGTATTGTATTGTAATTCAATTAAGAAGGATAAACACAAATTATGATTTCTTATATTTACACGAACACTTTACATTTAAATAATACCTACTAGTTTTTACAGATTTTATCGCGTATAACAATTTTTTTATATACCCGACTTTTCGAGCATTTTTCTTCCTCTAACTATCTGCTTGGGATCCCATAATTAAAAAATTAAATCCCAACCAAAGCATACGACTCCAAGACTTCAAGATACTTTAAGTTCATACTGCGTGGATCGGAACAAAAATTTATAATTTTAATCTGTGGTAACCGCTGTCAATATTACATCTGAAAGTTGGACGTCTCAGTCCCTCCCCATGACCATGGGTGTTGTAAAGTGCTCAAAACATCGGGTATATAAAAAAGTTAATACACGCGATAAAATCCATGAAAACTAAGGTATGTGAAGTAACAAGGTCACCTTAAGCTTTGCCGCCCAATAAAACCAAAACTAGAATGAAGACGTAGAAGAAAATACAAAGTTATATAATATAACTAAAACATTAAGAAAACAATAGTAAACAAGCATATGCAATAATTAGGAACACTTCTAAGTATGCGAAATGATGAATGACAGAGGAATAGATGTGTTATGTGTGAATGAGACGAAACGAAAGGGAAAGGATGCCACTGCACATGGCAGGTATACCGCGTATTGGTCTGGTGTAGGCGAGACCGAACGGGCATGCCAGGGAGTCGGTTTCATCCTTTCAGAAAGAATGGGTCAATGTGTGAAAGAGTATGAATGTGTAAGTCCGAGACTGCTATGGATACGAATGAAAGTGGGCTTAAAGAAGCTGTTCCTGCTAGGGGTGTACGCCCCAGACATGTCTAAGCCCACTTACATCCGAGAGCAGTTTTGGGACATGGTAAGGATGGTGTTGACAAAATGTAAGGAAAATGAAAATATTATTATGTTAGGAGACTTTAATGGAAGGGTTGGGGTGAAGAGGTCTGGTTATGAAAGGATATTGGGAACGTTTGGTGATGAAAGTATAAATGAGAATGGTGAAGACCTCCTCACCGTATGTGCGGAAAAGAATCTTTTTGTGACGAATACTTTTTTTCGTCATAAGAAGATTCACATGTATACATGGGAAAGAGGTGATGATAGAAGCATGATAGATTTCGTAATTGTGGATGAAAGAATGAGGAGCGCAGTCGTAGATACAAGGGTTTACCGGGGGTCCAACGTAGGGACGGATCATTACTTGGTCTTATGTCGAATTAATGGTCTTTTCAAGCGTTGGCGGCATCGGACATCTGTATCTACCACTGCGTTACAGCGTATAAGAATAGAGAAGTTACAAGATGAAGATGTGATAGAGAAGTATAAATGTAGACTGAGAGAAAATATTAGATGTTTGAATGAGTTGTGTATGAATGAATTAGACTTGAATACTGTGTGGGATAATATTAAGAAAGGTTTGGTGGATACCGCCACCGAAGTATGCGGAGTAAGTAAGAGAACAAATGAAAGGAAAAGTAATACGTTATAGTGGAATGATGAGGTACGGGTGGAAGTTGAATCAAAGAAGAAAGCATGGTTAGATTTACTAGCAACCAAAGCTGATAATTCTTCTGGTATGAATGATGAGATTGAAAGAAAAAAGGCAGAATTTAGACGTCTAAATAAGAGAGTAAAAGAAGTTGTTGAAAGGAAAAAGAAAGAAAGAACGGATAAGAATGATAGAAGGATATCTGATAATTTCCAGGCTAACATAAAAATGTTCTGGAAACTCGTAAGAACTGCCAGGGGAAATACAAAACAGCCTATAATAAATGCTATAAGAGACGAGAATGGATGTATTCTGAATGATGAAGTTTCGAATTTAAACAGATGGAAGGAATACTTTGAAAGCGTGTTTATGAGTGAAGAGTCGTATGAATTAAATGAACTAGAAAAACTTGAAAAAGAAGTGGAAAGGGGTATGGAGATAAGTGTAGATGAAATAATGAAAGCAATGAAAAGCATGAAAGCAGGTAAGGCAGCTGGATATGATAGAGTATCACTCGAGATGCTAAGGGCTGGAAAGGGAGTGGTGGCAGGCCTGCTGTACACCTTGTTTAATTTATGTTGGGAATTAAAACGGGTACCGGATGACTGGTGTAAAGCAGTTATAGTACCAATGTATAAAGGAAAAGGGTCACAGCAGGACTGCAAAAACTACCGCGGTATCAGCTTGCTTAGTATTGTGGGTAAACTGTATGCTAAGGTGTTAATTGAAAGAGTTATGAAAGAAACTGATGGAAAAATTTGGGATGTGCAAGCGGGTTTTAGAAAGGGAATGGGGTGTACAGATCAAGACTTTTCCATGCGCATGATTGCGGAGAAGTTTTTGGCCAAAAACCAGAAAGTTTTTTGTGCGTTCATGGACTTGGAAAAGGCTCATGACAGAGTGGACAGGAATGTGTTATGGCAAACACTGAACTCATATGGGTTGAGCGCTGGTTTGATACAGGCATTAAGGTCTCTTTATAGGGACTCTAGTGCTTGTGTCAGGATCAATGGGGTCTACTCGGACTGGTTTGGCATCCAAAAAAGTGTCAGACAGGGCTGTGTGGCTTCCCCTTGGCTGTTCAACCTATTTATGGACCGGTGTTTGCAAACTTTGAAAGATGAAGAATGTGGGTTAAGAATGGGCGAGTTAACCGTCAAATGCCTTTTGTATGCCGATGATCAAGTCATACTTGCGTCATCGGCGGCAGAGTTGCAAATGATGGTTACATTAATGAACTGGGAATTAAAAGAAAGGGGAATGAAATTGAACGCAAGTAAGACGAAAGTGATGGTTTTTGAAAGAGAAGAAAGCAAAACGGTATGTGAAATAAGAATAGAAGGAGAGTTGATTGAGCAAGTGGATGAGTTTATGTATTTGGGATGTGTATTTAGCAGGGATGGTAGATATGATAGGGATATAGAACGACGAGTAAATGCAGGGAATAGAGTGAATGGGGCACTACACTCTATTATGAAGAACCAGAATTTGTCAAAACAGGCACGTATGGTAATTCATAATGCTGTGTTAGTCCCTACTTTAATGTATGGTAGTGAAAGCTGGGTGTGGCAGAAGAAGCACGAAAGTAGAATAAATGCTGTAGAAATGCGGTCTTTAAGGAATATGCTGGGGTGTAATCTGAATGACAGGGTGAGAAATTGCGTGATAAGAGATAAATGTGGTATGCAAGATGATGTTGTGACCAGGATTAAGAAAGGAATGCTTCGGTGGTTTGGTCACATAGAAAGAATGAATGAGGAAAGAGTGACAAAGCAAATTTATATGGCAGATGTGAATGGCCGAGTCGGGAAGGGACGCCCTAGGAAAAAGTTTATCGACCAAATTGGCGATATTTTGAAAATGGGCCACGTTAGAAGTACCCTTAACCGACGAGCATGTATGCGTAGATATATGGATGTAAAGGAGGTGAAAGAGGTATGTCAGGATCGTGCCAAATGGAAGTCCGTAGTCTCTGCCTACCCCTCTGTGTGACAGGCGTGAGTGTTTATGATTATGATGGAGGAACACTTCTAAAAGTCTACTTAAAAAACTAACTACACTACACAATACTAAAAGCGTCTAAATTATTTACTATAATTTCTAGTGTTAGCTGTTAGCTGTTAGCTGCTTTATCGACGCCATTTTGACCCTTTATTATTTGATTTACCGATAAAGAGATATCGTATCACAGAGCCGACTACGCAATCAAGGCTGTAGTTTTTGACTTATAAGAAAGTCACCATATTAACCGATTGATTTGGTTTTTACCCATTATTTAAACACAAGTTATTTAATGTCAGCAAAGCATTGCTTTATTTTTACTGACCTTGCGCCGTATAACGATAACTCGACAAACACCTGTTCCAGTTTGTTAAACACTTACCAATATCGTCTGTTTCGCGAATATTTGTTTAAAAGTTTACAAAGTTATATTTAGCTCTCATTCGAACCATTATCAACCTCATATCTTAAGTAATAAAGACTGCTTACCAGCGCAGAGCGTACAACTCCCAAAAAAGAAATGGCGAAATCGTAAACCAAAATTAGGTTTAGTTCGGAGCCGCAGTCGAGTGTAGACATTTCCACGTGTTCACTTTGATGTCGCAAAAATAAGCTTTTAAAATATTGTTTTTGTAATATCTGTTTGGTCACTCGGAATTAAAAGCCAATTTTGGACTGAGTTATTTATTTCATACAGATAATGATCTGATTTTGCGATACTAAAGATGTCATAGTCATCATCATCATTACAGCACTTTACAAAGCCAATGCTGAACATAGGCCTCCCCTAAGGAATGCAAAAAGCACGGTCCTGCGCCACCTGCATCCATCGACTTCCTGCATCTCTTACCAAGCTGTCACACCATCTAGTGGGGGGTCTACACTTTGCTTAACGATACGAGTGTGCAGTTAACTCAAAACAGAGAAAACTACAGATATGTTATCACCTCTGAAGTCTAATATAACATGCCTCACAGCCTGTAATACAACTGCCTGTTCTGCTTCTATACCCTGATACTAAAATATTTTTACATTATTATATATAAATAAATATACAAAATTTGACATACACAAACTTCAAAAACTTAATTAAACTAAGTTTGTATAAAAAGGGTTATTTTAAGGAATTTATGGATGATAATAACCCCTAGGAAGGGTGATCGCTAAGCTATTTCCAATTTGTTTTGTGTTGTTAATTGTAACATACATGATTGTATGCTCTTATCTAAAAAAATATAGAGTTCCGCTGGGTTTCTTGCTGGTTCTTCCCAGGACAGAGGTTTTGTTTTCGAACCAGTGGTAATGAAAAAAAGTGACTTTCAATAAGTATTATTATTTATAATCCATATTGAATAAAAAGGCTGCGATTTCTGTTACATAATATTAGTCCGCCAACGTGCATTGGGGCACCGCGATGGACTCTTGGCTGTATCAAAAATATTCTGAGAAATAGCAGAGGATCTATACAATAAAAGTTGTCATTGTTTGTTAATTAAAATAAAATACAATTTTATACAATAACCTTTTTTGTAAACCATAACAGGGACTAAAATTACCCCAACATACTTTTTCAGCGTTATAATTTCGTCATGATTATTCAACGACTCCCTGAGGCCTGCAAGCAAAGAATCTCCGCTTCCATGTTGCTCTTTTCAGAGTTCCGGGTGCACAACAGTCTTCGATACACATAATTTTCTTTTACAAAACTCAGTGTATTTTAAAACAGCTATTAATTTTAAAAGCCTTTATTAAAAGTCTGGTTACTATTTATCGAAACTTCAAATTTTTATTAAAGATGGCAGATTAAAGATGGCACTACATGGCAATTTAAATCAAATAATATTGGGTCCTTACATATGAAGTTAGCGTTTTGTCGTACTGACCACTTTGATCTGAAATATCTCTCTTTGGTTAAGAATTCCAAATTTAAATTTATAAATTCATTTAGCTAATACACTTGAGTTTTGAAAATAGTCATTCATTTGTTTTTTCCTCTTTATTTTTTCCTTTGGCGTCGCTTATTACCGCACAATGGAACATGAAATATCGATATATTTACGAGTACGAGTTCTACCATGCCCTGGTGCCACGGTAGAACTCGTTGCAAAAACAGCTCGAAGGAATAATGATCTATACTGCGCTGGTGTCGCAATAGAAAGCACGGTGTGCTTTTGGTTTCAACTTTTTCGTTCTGGAAATTTCGAAGCTTCAGAACCAACCCCGTGGACGGCTGGAGACCAAAGTGGAAAATGAAGAATTAAAGACTATTGTGGAAGCGGATCCATCACAAAGCACTTCAAAGATAGCTGCAAACTTCGGGGTAAAATTGTATTAATCGACTTGAAGCAAATCGGGAAAGTAAAAAACTTGAACGATGGGTACCTCATTTTTAAGTGAATTGAACTTGCAAAAACGCGTCGACTGCTATGTTAATTTGCTCAACCGAAACAAAAATGAAGATATTTTAAATCGAATCATTACTTGTGATGAAAAGTGGATACTGTACGACAATTGGAAGCGCTCCTCGCAATGGCTGAACCCTCGATCCCCAGCCAAATTCTGCCCTAAATGAAAATTGACTCAGAAAAAGTTACTTGTGAGTGTTTGGTGAACTAGCACCGGTGTCGTTCACTACAGCATTCTAAAATCTGGCCAAACGATTACAGCAGATATTTATCGTAGTCAGCTGTAAACCATGAAAGAAGAACTAGCCACTAAACAACCGAGATCAATCGCTCCAGGCCACTGCTGCTTCATGACAACGCAAGACCACACACAGCATAACAACCAACCACTAAGTTAGATGAGCTACAATTGGAATGTCTGTGACATCCACCGTACTCCCCAAAAATTTCTCCAACAGATTAATATTTTTTCCGGAATTTGGAATTTCGGAAAACTTCTTACAAGGAAAAAAAATTCAACTCCGATGCGGCAGTCCAAACCGCCTACAAAGAGTTTATTGATTCTCGCCCCCATGGTTTTTTTTTAGTAAAGGGAACGACGAACTACCTATGAGATGGCAAAAGTGCATGGATAACAACGGTGCATACTTTGATTAATTAAATATATTTTACAAAAAAAATGACTTTATATTTTTCCCGTACAAAACGCCAATTTCATATGTAAGGACTTATGAAATTAATCTCAGTTTTCACACATATACAAATAAATATTATTGAAATGTCTCTTTGTAATGTTAAAATACTCCTTAAAGCTTTTTACTAAATACATACGAAAGTATATACGGTACTTAAAACAAAAAGTAATTTAAAAAAATTTGTAAGTCAGTCTGTCTGTCTGTTTGTTCCGGCTAATCGCCGAAATAGGTCGACTGATTTTGACAGTACTTTCACTGGCAGATAGCTGATATTATGACTAGTAATATATGCTTCTTTTATTTTAAAAAAGGAACTGGAATTCCGCCTAAAAAATTTAAACCTATGAAATCCAATCGTAATAAATTCAACGCAAACGAAAATGCTGGGAACAGCTAGTGTATAATATCTCGATATTGCATTTGCCCATATTCTCGTCTTTTTGTGATTTTTTAAAATTAAAATTGACGTGGTATTTAACCACTTAAACAGTATAGTAATAAAATAATACTAACAAGTTATTTACAAGAAATATAACTATATGTACAGGGCAGCTTCGTTACAGTAAGCGGAGTGTCGGGTGGGGCCACCCACGAGATGAAGTGATGAATTAATTAAAAATGCAAAAAGTCAGTGGATGCAGTCGGCTCCGGACCATGTTTTGTAACATTTCCTAGAAGGATACTATGTTCATCGGTGGACTCGTGAAATGTCGTAAAGATGATGT